GTCTTGTCTGGTCTGACTGCTGCTAGTTCTGTGACAGTCTCTGACCCATCTTCTTTAAAAAGCCACTGGTCTGCACTGTAAAAGCCCAGTTCTTGCTTAGTGTCTAGGTCTTTTAGCCGAAGCTGCAGGCAGAAGAAGAGAATTATCACATTTTTATGAAATATTTTCATATTACCCTCCAATAAAAATTGATATTTCTGCCAGTCATTTAAAATAAATTAATACAAAATATTTTATGTATAAATAATGCCTAGTTTATCATGATGAGAAATAGCTACTGCAAATCATGTAACTGGGTGATCCTAAATAAACACTTTAATGAGGTTTCGTAGAGACATAAAGAATGAATGAATCCATATGAAAGATCAGGGCCTAAATCCAGATACTAGAAACTGCTGTTTCAGGATTTCTAGAAACTGTTAAGCTACAGCAGGCCTATCTGTATATATATATTTGTCCAATGGCATTAAGGGAGATGTTCCGTTGCGACTATTACTGACCTTTTCAAGTGCTTTTCATCAGTAGGTCTCAAAGTGCTTCCCCCTATTTAATATATTTATCCTCACAACATCCTTGTGAGGTAGGGAAGTATTAATATCCCTGTAGTGAGTCAACATATTTGTACATTAACTGTTTATATTTCTTCTGCCTTTGGTTCATCTGATGCTTGATGCTGATATTGCATACATTATAGCTGGGATTTTCAAAGGCGTTTATAGGGGTTAGGTGTTCAGCCTCCTTTGAAAGTCATCAGGACTTCTATGGGAATTAGGCAAGTAAGGAGTCATAGCTACACTACAAGGATTTATCTACTTTGGGGGCATGTCTACATTACAAACTTTGGTTAACGTAAGTTACATTGTCATAAAGCTGCCACAGTATATCGCTTGTGTGTGTGCATACTTGACTCCTTGTGTTGGTGCTGAGCACCAAGAGTGCTTGTGTTTGAGTATAATGTGGTGCACCATGTGTAGGTATCCCAGTGTGCAACACGCTATCATCCAGTGCACTGTCTGTTGGAAATGTTTGGCAATGCAAACATTGGCGAAGGAACAAATGATGCATAGGTGACAGCAGTCAACTTCCCAGATTGCAAGTTCCACACACACCCACATCCCTCTTTGCTATCCACCATCTCTGAGAGAAGCCTGAAGTCAGCATAGCTCTGCACTACTGTCATAAGCATTGCATGATCCTCCACAAGAACGATTGGATGGATGACTAGGGAACACGATGACACCTTGGAAGACAGATTAATGTTGTACGCAGCAAGAACAAATTCAAAAGTATTGGTAGCATTTATGGAGTAGCTGCACATGGTAGTGTGCCGATTCCTGGTCTGATAAATGAGCGGTGATGGATGGAATCACATCATAATGCAGATTTGGGATAATGAGTATGGTTTCCAAACTCTGGGATGTGCAAAACCATATTTCTAGAGCTGTGTGCCAAGCTTGCTCCAACCCACCAGAGCATAGACAGCAAAAATGAGAACTGCACTGACAGCAGAGACATGAATAGCAATTGCACTGTAGAAACTTGCAAGGATGTATTATGACTGGTCTGTGGAAAACATTTTGGAGATAAAAAATCCACTGTGGGGTGCATTGTCATGCAAATATGCAGGGAAGTTAACCATCTCCTGCTACATACGTCTGTTATTCTCAGCAATGTGCAGGACATAGTGGATAGATTTGAAGCAGTGGGGTTTCCAAAATGTGGTGGAACAATAGATGGCAAGCATCTCACTATTCTGGTACCAGATCACCTTGTCACAAAGTGCACCAAGAATTGGTAGATCACTAGGGACACTTCATCAACATCAACGTTGGCTGGTTAGGGACGGTGCATGACATTCGCATCTTTAAGATCACAGAACTTTTTCAGAATCTGTAAGCAAGGATTCTTTCCTGACAGCAGATTACAATTGGCAATATATGTTGAAATACCAGTAGTAATCCTGGGGCACTCACCCTACTTCTTTTCCCCTTGATTCATGAAACTCTACATCAGCCATCTCAAGAGCATCAAAGAAAGATTCTGTTGCTGGCTCAGCAGGTGCAGAATACACTTGCTGTGCATTGACCTTAATACATCAACCACAACCCTACACCACTTGAGCAGGTGATGGTACTGCAGTGCTGTAATGGGGCACTTACATCAGTGGGAGGCTAGCTTAAGTGTAGACACATGTACAACTAGGTTGACATAAGACATATTTTATGTTGGCCTAACTTTGTAGTGTAGGCTGAACGTGGGACATTCAGGAAAATTAATCCAAATTAATTAAGGGGGGAATTTAAAGTGGATTATTTAAACTGCTTTAAACCCTGGTCTGAACACTCATTCAGAACTGACATAGCCTTAATTCACTTCAGTTTTATCCACTTCTTAAACGTCAATTCTCTTCAATAAGAATTGGGCATTTAACACTTTTTTTTTGAAAAACTCATCCTATTCCTTTGGCATTAATTATTATAGTAAAGATTATGTTGAGCCTTCATTATAATCTGACATTTTCGTTGTTCACGAGTCTATTTTTTCCCTTTAAATTGAAATAATCTATGCTTGGTGCGTTTTTGAAGAGACTTTTAGGAAATTTTAAAATTTGAACTATTGCCACTTGTGCACCTATTACCCTCAATAGAGATTGATTTATACATTGGCTTGATGCTTTTCTGAATTGGGGACACACCGATCAGACCTCAGTCATTTTTTTCATGAAGGGCCTCTATAGCTGCTAAAATTATGCACCAATGGAGAATAGTGGATTTTGTAATATTGATGTACTCACTAAGTATAGGACTCAGCAAATAGCAATTGATTTACTATATTCTGTGGGGATGGAGGGTGGATTTTGGCTCCACTGAATTCAATGGCAAAATTTTGACTTTTATGGAGCCAGAATTTCAACTTCTCTTTCTGACACAACCTAATCAACAGTATTCTTGCATTACAAAGAAATGATCTACATTGTATAAGGTAATGCACTTCTGATAGGTATTTTTCTATTGTTATTAAGCAAGAAGCATCCAGAAAAAATGTAATTTATGTGAAATACCTTGTGAAGTTTAATTCCTCTTTCTAAACTTGGGCCAGATAACACAAAGGAAACTTTTGTTACAGAGCCAATATCATCAACAGTCAACTGTGAAATAATAATAATAAAAAGTTAGCTGAAGTATACACACCTTACACAATTATTTTGGTGACATAAAGCACATTTTTATGTGTTTTATTTCTCTAATTCATTTTGAAAAATGAGTGACCCAAAAGAGAATGCTGATCAAGAAAACATGCATGTTAGGGTGGACAAAATCCAATGGCAAATCAGAAAATGAATCTGAACTCATACAGTGCAGTGTGCATCTTCCTCAAAAAAAAACTTCATTAACTTTTTAAGTTAAAGTATTGCCCACCCAAAACTGTAAAAAGCAAGGAAGATCACCACTAAACCAGTAAACTACCGCGCTATGTTCCTTTTATCATTTCCTCATCTCAACCTTACTTACCTTCATTCCCTGCTCCACCAGTCACCCTTGAACTCTGACTATGTTTATTGGTTATATTTGTATGTGTTTCGATAATCAAGATTGTATTGGTGGTGGCTTCCACACATTATATTGTACAGAGCTGGGTAGTGGTTCCTTTGGTGTTGGTAAATAAGATTGTGTCAGATTACAAATGGTGGATGTTGGCATCTATTTTTCCTTCACGTTTATGAAAAAAGCTTAAGTGAAAATGTAATCTATATTCTAGCAATTGTTTGGAAAGTTGCTACATAATTGTATATAGAAATTGGAGAACTGAAATGTACATATGTTTAAGTGCTTATTTTTAAATTGACACTTGTGGTTGAAATTAAGGCAGCCCATTGGTTGTTCAGGCTGAATGTAAAGATATGCAGGCTGTGGGTGGTTAAAAGGGATTAGCTAAAATTGAGAAATAGATGAGGAGTTGAATGTTTTAACTGCTTATTACCTTGCTTTTTCTCATTTGAATTAGTGACATTGCAGCAGTGATATGTGTTAGTCCCTATAAGAATCTCTGGAACATCCCAAAGTACTCAAACTCTTTGAGCAGTTCTGGTCTCCCATGTTCAAGAAAGATGAATTCATACTGGAACTGATTCAGAGAACTGCTAGGATGATCAGAGGACATCACGATCATCTAATCTGACCTCCTGCAGATTGCAAGCCACACAATCTCTCTCACCCTCCTCTGTAATAGACCAATAAACACCCACCATTTACTCTAGTTTAAATTAGCAAGTGAGGGGTGGGGTACTGCATGTTGCTGAGGAAGACAATAAACCTCAGGGTCTCTGCCAATCTTATCTGGGGGGAGAAATTTCTTCCTGACCCCAAATACAGATGAGTTGGACCCTGACCATGTCTGCAAGACCTACCAGCCAGACACCTGAGAAAGAATCCTCTATAGAAATTAATAGCCCACCCCTCTAGTGCCCTATCGCCAGATATTGGGCATTTTTTTTACTAGCATTGTCGATAGGTCACATGCCTGTGTAAACAATCTCATCCTATTATCTCCTCCATAAACTTATCAAGCTCAGTATTGAGGCCAGTTGTATTTTATGCCCCTACTGATCCCCTTGGAAGGCTGTTCCAGAACTTCACTCCTCTGATGATTAGAAACCTTTATCTAATTTCAAGCCTAAACTTGTTGAGGGCCGATTTGTATCCAGCTGTTCTTGTGTTCACATTGGCATGCAACTTTCACAGCTCCTCACCCTCACTAGTATTTATCCCTCTGATGTATTCATAGAGACTGATCATGTTTCCCACTCTGACTTTTTTGGTTTAGGCTAAACAAGCTAAGCTCCTTGAGTCTTCTCTTCTCAGGTAAGTTTTCCATTCCTCTGATTATCCAACAGTTCTCTGCACCAGTTCCAGTTTGAATTCATCTTTCTTGAACATGGGAGAACAGAACCGTGTGAAGTACCCTAGAGGAGGTCACATCAGTGCCTTGTATAATACTTCCCTACCTCTATTGGGAAATACCTCGCCCAATGCATCCTAGAATTTCATTAGCCTTTTTCACTGCTGCATCACACTGGCAGCTCATAGTTCATCCTAGAATTTCATTAGCCTTTTTCATTGCTGCATCACACTGGCAGCTCATAGTCAGCTTGTGATCAAACAACGCAGCCAGATCTGTCTTGTCCTCTGTCACTTTCAATTAATAATTCCCAAGTTTATAGCAAAAAAAAATCTCATTTTTAATCCCTAAGAATATAACTTTGCAATTTATACTATTGAATTTCTTCCCATTTTGATTACTCTAATATTCAAGGCCCTTCAGTTCTTTTAGTACAGCGGTTCCCAGCCTTTTCCAGATGGGGACCCATTTTGAAAATTCAGGAAGACTTGGTGACCCAAAGCAATTCAAAACAGGGGGAGAAGGGAGGACAGAGCCACCTGGAGAGACACTTTTGAAATGTAATGGCGACCCATATTTGGGTCCCGACCATAGGTTGGGAAACCCTGTTCTAGTCTGAGTCCTCTTCTATGTTGGCAAAACATCCTGACTTTGTGTTATCTGTGAATTTTATTAATACACTCCTACTTTTTGTCAAGGTCATTAATAAAATGCTAAATTAGATTGGTCCCAAGACCGATCCCCGAGGAACTGTAGAAGTAAACTCCCTCCAGCCAGACAATTCATCTTTCAGTATGACTGACTGTAGTCTAACCATTAATCAATTCCTTATACACCTTTCATTTCTTATGTTGATCCCCAGCTTCTCCAATTTAACTAGTGTGGCAAAGCTCCGGTTAGTCACTGTGGGTCTCGCACTACTGGCCAATAGTGTTGGCCTCAGAGGCACACTGCGGCCTGCCACATAGCCTCTTTCTTTTTACTAGAGGCAGGTTTAGAACCACAGCCTAGTGAGCCGTACACATCACAGACTAGTCCATAAGTTAGGAGTTCTGGAGTCTTGATCTCTCTTTTCAAGGTAGATTTTTCAAGGTAATGTGAGGGAGGTTGGGAGGAACCCAGGTCCACCCACTCCTCTGGGTTCTAGCCCAGGCACCCTAAGGCAGCGGCAACAAGCAGGGTTACTGCCTCTTGCAATCTGGCAGCTTTTTCCTGGTCCACTTCCCCAATTTGATACCTGCTCATCAGTCCTCTTCTCACACCCACACAGCTCCCCCACATAGCACTTCCTTCTTCCTATTAGAGTTGCCTGATAGCTTCACAAAAATACCAAACAGAAAAAAAAAAAATTGTTGAGCACAAAAAAAAAAAAAAAAAAAAAAAAAAAGCCAAAAACTTGTTACCAGGTGCTGCTGGGGAGACAGCAAGCTGAGCCCTGAGAAAAACAGAAAATACCGGACATTTTAAATGTCCGGTATTTTCCGGGTTTTTTACTGGACAGAAGCTGCAGAAGCTGTCTGGTCCAATACCGGACACTTGGCAACCCTACTTCCTATCCTTGGCTCTTTTCCTTCCCCCTTTCCTTGCCTGGGGGGAGACCTTTTAAAGTGGCTGCAAGTGTTTAATTAGCCTATGGCTTCTAGCAAGTTCCAATTGATGCCAGATGCCTGCCTAATTATGCTGGACTTAAACTTTGGCCTTCTTTTACTCAGGGAAGAGAAAGCTGTTTACCCAAGCTCCAGGATATATTCCCTCCACCAGAGAATGGCAGATGGATAGTCTGGGTCTGTCACACTAGCAATTTTCCATGGGTCAAATGGCTTATTGAAATCCAAGTAAATTAGATCTATTGCATTTACTTTTTCTTCTCAAAATAAGAATACAGGTTGGTCTGGTAAGATCCACCTTTTGTAAAACTTCATTGTATTTTATTCCAATTATCATTATACCTTTAACTACTTTCTCTTTCAAAATTTGTTCCAAGCCCTTGCATATACCTGAGGTCAAAGTAATGGGCCTGTACTTTCCTGGATCACTTTATTTCCCTTTCTTAAATACACGTATTGTACTAGCAATTAGTCAGAGAGTATGACCAATGAGTTTATGGATTCATTTGTAATCACTGCTACTGGGTTTGCAATTTCATGTGCCAGTTCCTTTCAATTGGCCACATTTGGCAGACAGAATACTGGGCTGGATGGACCTTTGGTCTGACCCAGTATGGCTGTTCTTATGTCTAATATTCTTTGATAAAATTATCCAGGTCCCCAAATTTAGTCCCATTAAAGCCATTTAATTTTGACTTCTACCTTGGATGTCGTAATTTCTACTTCCATACCTTCATTTCTCTTAGTCACTCTGCAACTATCCCTTAGCTTATTACTCTTATTAAAAATGAGGCAAAGTATTCTTTTAAGTATTAGGTCATGGCTATGTTTTCTTTAATCTACACCCCATTTTCAGTGTCTAGCAATCCCACTTATTCCCTTGCTTTCTTTTTGTTTATATAACTATAGAACGTTTTACTATCGGTTTTAATTTCCTTCACACTTCACACTCTGCTTGGATTTTGTCAGTTTTCACTTACTCCTGCACTTTCTGATCTCCAGAAGAAGTTTTCCTTGCTGATTGTTCCCATCTTCCATTCATTGCGGGTTGCCTGCGCCATGGGTATAAGATGCAGAGGTAGGCAATGCCTTCCTGCATTCCCAAATTGCCCAGCTGGCCCTGCTCACACTTTGTTCCCAGGCCTACCACCACACAGGATGGCTCCCCCAATCTCCTGGGACTGCCTGGGCTTCATCCCAACTGAGGCTGGGGCTGGGCACCTCTTCTGCTCCTGGAGCTGGGGAAGGCTTAGGCCAAACACCTCCCACTGGGGCGATGGGATTTGGCCTGCCCCTGAAGTGGGAGCTTGGCTCCCAGGGAGGCCTTTGGCAGTTGGTGTAGAGTCTCAGGCAGAAGGGATGGAGCTGGACACTTGCCTCCCACAATCCTGGGTTCACCCACTGCCCATGATCTACTTTCTCTTAATAACCTGTTTGAGATACCTGGCTATCCAGTTTGGCTTGCAACTCCTCCCTACAATTTATTTATTTTTCTTGGGATGCAGGCTTCACGTAGCTTCTGCAACTTTGACTTAAAATAGATCTCCATGGTCAAATCCTTGAGTTCTTCAGTCCAGTCCACTTTCCTAACTAATTCCCTTAATTTTTTAAGGTTTGCTCTTATGAAATCAAGAAGTGTACTTGCACTCCTATTTTTGTTTAGCCTCCCATGAAGTTTAAACTGAATTGTCTCATGATCATGAAACCAAGGTTGTCCTCTATGACCAGTTTTTATAGGAGGTCCTCACTACTTACCAATACCAAATCCAATATGTCATCACCTTTGTTGGTTCAGCAATCATTTGATGAAGGAATCTATCAGTTATCACATCCAGGAATATTGACCCCTACCATTATTAGTAGTATTTGTCCTCCAATCTCTATTTGTGAAATTAAAGTATCCCAGGATGATATAATTTCCAGTGGTATTTATTTCATTTAAGATATTAAATAGGTCTCTATCCATACCCATATTGTATCTTAAGGGTCTGTAGCAGGACTCCAACTCCAACCACTATCTCAATGGAGCTTTTGTTAGCTTTCTTCTCCAAAGTGATTTTGACCCAAACAGAATCTGTTTTATCAATTTTATCACTGCTGTCTTTACAATTCACCTCATCATTAAAATACAATGTTACTTCACCTATACCTTTATTTCTGTCTTTCCAGAGCAGCACATAGCCTTCAATACCTGTTCTCCAGTCATGACTACTATTATACCATATTTCTGTTATCCAATAATATCTGGTTTTTCTTCCTGTTTTCTTGGTGCATAGGAGATGTCAAAATATCAACTCTGAACAATAAAAAAATACGTGTGCGCAATCTGGCACATAGAAAACACAAAGTACCTTTCCAAGTTACACATTGTTAGGATTGGTATAAAACATAATAAAAAGAAACTAACCAAAAAAGGGTTATTTTTCAGATTCTGGACCTTCTGTGAAGCTGATTTCCCTTTTGTTCCAAACACAACAACTTGAATATTAAGAACTTTCTCTGGTACGTGAGTACAGTACACCCACATTTGCCATCGTCCTCTGCTTTTAGTGTCAAAGTATTTAACTGGATCAGATGTCATGGTAATTTCTATATTTAAAAGAAATACATATTCAGAATACATATATATGTAAAAGTCAACAGACAACATTATAATAATTTATAAATTGTAATGCGCTCAAAAGTTCTTAACCATGAAACACTAATTTGTATAACCAAAAAACATATTGCTAGTACTACCTTTAAGTGGAATGACTAGCTCTGTAAAATCTTTCTTTGAGTGTTTGCGGATCCAGTTATTGTGAGAAAAGATGTGAGTGGCAAAAGGGTAACTTTCTTCTTTTATAACAATTTTTTCCAAGAACCAGTCATCTGATTGAAACAAACAATATTATTAATTTATTGTACTTCGGTAACAACGATAAGCTCTACCTACACAGTCTGAAGTTTCTGATTTGAATGAGAATGCAGAGGGCTCAGCAAATCACCGGAGACATGCAACACCATCTAGATTTAGGGCCTTAGAGATTTCTTACTGATGATTGTAACTCTCAGAGATTGAGAGTTTTCTTCTCCTCCACAGGAGAAATATTACTTATCCGAGAATGCAATAAATAAATGAATGTTGCACTGTGATCACATGACATGACTTGTTTGGCAACATTGGCAGGAAACAAAAGAAAACTAACATAAAGAACATTTTAAAATAACCCTTTCTGGACTTTTTAATGAATATAACAATGAATTATACCAGGAATGGGGTATTATCATCAGCGCTTGAGGATTAGAAATGAGCAAGACAACAAATACATTTGAAAAGATTCAAAAAAATTGAGTAACAAATCTACACACATCCTCACTAAGATTGATGCTACTGGCTCCAGGCACTTAACTTGCACTTCGTCTTAATATGTCTGTTACCGCTAATCCTAAAGAGGAAGATTTTGGTGAAATCCTAGCGCTGCTTAAATTGATGGGTGTTATGCCTTTGGGGCCAGCTTTTCATTATTTGACTTCAAGCAATAAGGCAAATAACTCCCTGGTAGGATTTTTCCCATATAAATTACTTGAAACTCCATGAATTGGGACTCCTGAATTTTCCATATGGTCTTGCTCTCAATAGTGGGAATAAGGATGCTGAGCTGTGTTGGCCACCCTCAGAGATGATCTGCATCCTGTAGATTTCAGGAGAGCTGCAGAGCCCAGGGCTACCTGAATCTCCTCTCTGTATCTCCACATGGCCATTAGACCTAAATGGCACTCGGAGACCTGAAGCAGTCATAATCCCATAGGGTACGTCTACACTAGCTCGTTAGTTCTAATTAGGAGTGGAATAAGGAGTAACGGTAGTTCGAATTAGGATCTTTTCGGACTAAGGGGGACATGCAAATGAAGCCTGGGATATTTAAATCCTGGGCTTCATTTGCAACTCCACTTGCCCTAATTATCCTACCTAGCTCGAACTAACGAGCTAGTGTAGACATACCCATACTGTCTCCAGTTGTCACTCTCTACTCTGATGTGGTCAAAATATTATTTACTCTGAGAACTGGAGGGGAGTTGGGAGAAATGATGCTGCAGACAATGTGGCTTTCTCTGCCTGCCACCACACTTCACGTCCCCAAGACAATGAAGCACCAATGGATGGATTTCTATGGGAAACAAGGACAATATTGTCAAACCAGTGCTCTTCTTCTTCTGTGCCCCTCTGCTTACCTCGATGGATTAATCTTTGTTCCTTTCCCCTGGTGGCAGAGGAGGAAAGCATTTCACCCTGAGCGATTAATGGTTTATTTTATTCTTGATAAAATGTCCATAATTTTAAAAAACTGAAAAGTTTAAAAAGTCTGTGTGTGTTATAGGGGTGGGGAATAATATCCAAATGAAATGCAAATCACAAAGTTTTGCTGGGAAACAAAAATCTTTGCTGACTATAAAGGGAGAACCAAATATATCAAACAAGCCACTAATTGTAAAAGAAAAAAAACATGCCTCATAATTTTTAACTCTGTAATTCGCTGGATACTTTTTACGATTTTCCCTGAGCATTTAAGTGACACGAGATTATATACAGTCTAACAGAAACCAGAAAAGGTCCAGAAATTTCAATTTTTTTAACTAGATTCCAAAGAGAACAAATCTCATTGACATATGATCTTTAATTATCATTTTAACAGATGTTCTTCTGCATTTCTGACACCCATTGCATCTGATGATAATCAGTTTTATTACACTGTATTTGTTATAATACAATGCTATACATTCAAGGCATGAAGTTTATTTTTAAATTATTGTACCTTTTTTAAAACTTTTAAATCCAATAAGAACTTGATTCAACTTGCCAAGGTGAACTGCTTTGATTCTGAAAATGTCCACCTGCAATTTGAGAATAATTAAATTATTGTTTTTGCATTGTTAGGTATGTATTGGCTTTAATGACTCATGAATATACCTCTACATAAGTGGACACTGCTTTGTATACTAGTGCACTTTACTTTACCCCAGTCACGTCATTCCATTTCTTTCAAGTGCACAATAAAACAGTATGTGTAGTAACTGATGTTTCCAATGTCAGCGACTAGCATGACTTTTATGATGACTTTTATGATGAATACTATAGTTGATAAATTGTATTTTCAGACACTCTGATACTCAGCTTGATGTTCCAGTAAGATGCTCACTTCTACTAAGCTTGTAGGATGAAATAACTAAATTACCTCAGTTATGACTATTATAAGAATTGACATTGTCCCTATGTAATAATCTCCATCACATGAAAAAGTTTCTTAAGTAGCTTAGATTTGAGTGGTGAAATTATTAGTGATCTTAGTGGAGTCTTTTGATCTCCTTTTTAGGTATAAGATACACACACACACAATTATTGTTTTGTTTGTTTTTCTCATTCTTTTTTCAAACACTTCCCTTGACTCTGGTTATAGGCAGGAAAGCTGGGCACTCTGGTGCTTCTCTTGGAGATGTTGCTGCGAGCCTGGCTGCACTTTCTGTAGGCTGTCATCCGGGAGGTCCATCAGGGGCTGTCAGTATCCAGGAGGCCCTGTGGGAGAGCTTCCACCCTGAGGAGCACTAAGAGCCTCCCTGGTCTGCCCCACTAAGGGCTTGTGCCTCATTCCTCCCTCACGTCCTTCCACTTACCCCTCCCTAACCCCCCTTCCTGATGTCAAATAAAATACATGAACACAAACTCTCTTTATTTAACAAAACTGGGGGGGGGGGAGGAATGAAACTCTGGTGAGACTGGGGAAAGGAGGTGGGAGAGGGGAGGGGGAAACCTGGGAGGAGGGATCTGGAAAGGGGAAGCAAGGAGAAGAAGGGGGAGGGGAAGCTCAGGGCTCAGGGTTGGGGGGTCTCGCTGGACCAACTTGATTGTCATGCAAACCTGCTCCTGGGTTCGCATGTGGCCTTTTGTGGCAAGGTTGGCAGCTATCCTGCCATAGATGGCTGTGTTCCTCTATCTAGTGCAGAGATCATGGACATGGGGGGCATCCCTTCCAATGGCAGGCTCCTGGCAGCTGGCAAACTGCTTCTGGAGAGTGGTGGAGGACTGGCTGTCAGTGGCTTGCTGGCTCATGATTTGGGGCCACTGGGTCGGGGCAGTGACTGCTGGCTCTGGGCTGGCAGGCTTGGAGCTGGCATAGGCACTATGGCCAGTGTCTACGCCTTTAAGGGGTCCAGGGAGGGGAGGAGTGAGAGGAGTGTTCTTGGTTGAGGCTGGAGTGGCCACTAGGGCTCCTGGGAAGGCTGGAGGCCCCCTATTTCAAAATAAGTGTCTACACAGCACTTATTTCGAAATAACTATTTCAAATTTGGTGTTATTCCTCGTAGAATGAGGTTCATCAAATTTGAAATAAGCACTCTGCTATTTGGAATTAATTTTGAAATAGCAGTTTGGCTGTGTAGATGCTAGGAAAGTTATTTCATAATAACTTTGCTGTATAGACATACCCTAGGTGTGCAACGTACTCAACTGCAGGGGTGTGTCTAGACTACATGGCTCCATCGACGGAGCCATGTAGATAAGGCAGGATGACAAAGGGAAATGAAGAGGTGATTGAAATGATCGCCACTTCATTTAAATCAAAATGGCCACCTTGCTGTGCCGATCAGCTGTTTGTCGGCACAGTGCGGCAGTCTAGACGGTAATCTGCCAACCCCAGATCCTGTAAGCCTCGTTTCCAGATCGGTTTTGCACTGATGAGTGAATGTCAAGATGTCTCCCATACATCTTTGCAAAGTGGCAATCATGGCAACTCCTGAATTTTGGTAAAGTGATTCTCTTCATCATGCGCTATGAGTACTCTTCTGGGTCACCTACAGTATCAAGTAAACTGAATCTGGATGATCAGGGTTCTGATTACAGAGGTAATGGAGCTATATTCATTGGTTCTTCATTTTCCAGTCTTCACCATTAATTCAGTACCACTCAGTGCTGTGGGGTGGTCAGCTGTTAAAAGCTTAGTAACAGAGAACATCCTTTGTAAAGTGATTTTACATTGATTTTTTTTTATTAAAAAATGTACCTATTTTTTGCAAACCTGCATTTGTATCAGACACTGAGGTGTAATGAGGCATCCGTAAGACTTGGGTCTGAATTTTTTTTACTATTCTCTTGCCAACAGTTGTTGAAGGATTTTTTCTGGAAAAGTTTTTAAAATTCTCAAAAACCAAGAATATTTTTGCAAGGTTTATAATGAATTTCTGAGTGGAGGGACAAAAAAGGAGAATTGGGTCTTGAGTGGGATATTTCCCTAATGATTACTTTTCAGTGATATTGAGAGGCAGGTGTTCATGATGGTTCAACAAACACACAATGCCATATTCATTTAAGCAGGCACATGACCAAGATATCTCATGGAAAAGCTATGCACTTCCACCTATGATGTATTTGGCCCCTAAGTCACTGCATCAAGGAGTTTGCAATCTAATTTTCTGAACAAAAATATGCCAGGAATTTAGCTACCTCTGTAGTGCAAGCTTATAGTGCAGAAGAGTAACCATATTCCATCCCAGAAATGGTTGACACATAGTAGTAGCAGGTGAAGGGATCTCAGTATGGAATATGCAGTCTAGTCAAAAGACTTTAACATCCTTTTGCATGAAAGGCTCTATGTAAATGTGAGGTATTAATAAGGAGACATTTACTATTTCAATTTTTTCCCCTCAGATCTTTTACCTGTCCTCGGGCAAAAGTGATGGGCCTGCTTCTTGAATTCTTAAGCCATCTTTTCCCAGAGTCTCCTCTCTCTCCTTGAATGCAAAGATAAGCCTCTCCACTCATATCTGCTTTCTTTATGTCTCCAGTGTGCACATGAATGGAGTATTCCACAACTAAAAGAAAATTTTAAAAACAGTCAGTATAAAAGGGAAATTCTCTATCATCTTGTCTCATAATTGGATTCCTTATAAAAACGCTTGGGTTCTAGTCTATTGTTTTATATGAGAGTCACTTACTATGTTCTTAAAAAAGGAAAATCACATTATCATAAAATTACATTCTAACAACTTTTAATTAGAGGAAAGGTCTGTATAGAATGCAGTTATACAGCTCCATAAATGTCCACACGTTTCATCTTTTTGTCAAATTATTATTATTTGTATTATGGTTGTAGTCAGAGGTTTCTACCAAGATCAGATTGTGCTCAGCACTGTACAAATATGCAGTAAGGTATGATGCTGCTCCAGGTACTTTACAATCTAAATATAAAAGACAGACACTGGGGGTGGGGGTATTGTCCCCATTTTAATGTAAGGAGAACTGTGCCACAGAAAGATTAAGACTCTGCCTACATTACAGAAATTTGCACATTTGTAATTTACTTAATATAATTATAGCACTATCAATATAGTTACATCCTTTTAGAGACTCCCTGCTCCATTGTAGGGTGGGTTTAAACCAGTGCATTTTAATCATGTAGATTAACAGAGTAAACTGAGCTGATATAAATGCTGTTTTACACCAGTACAAAACTCTACATCAGGGATTTGCTCTGATGAAACTGTGCTGTGACATCAATAGACATTTCTCTAATGCCAGTAGGTCCTAAGTGACTCACCCACCATAATATAGGCTGTAGCTAGGGCAACCAACACACTTTTTTGAGCCATCAGCAAAGTGGTGAGGCAATTTCAAGACCCCAGAAGGAGTGGAGCCTCGGGTGGAAGGGGCGCGGTTGGGGTCTAGCCTCCCCCAGCCAGCCTTTCAGGGCTGCCCAGGTGTGTGTTGCTCTTGGCTCTGGTGGCAATTTAAAAGGCCCGGGGCTCTGTCATCTACCACAGCAGCAACTGGGAGCCCAAGGCCCTTTTAAATCATTGGGCCCTGGGACAGCTGTTCCTTTCCTCCCATCAATGGGTCTATCTGCAGCAGAGCTTGGAAATAACCCTGATCTCCTGAGTCTCAGTCCAGTGCACTAACTACAACACATTCTTATTCTCTGCATAAATCCATGTTGGTGAATCCATAGAATGCAGCTTTCTTTTCCTCTGCATTCTTCCAGAAAATCAGCACTCTTGACTATTGTGTTCAGTAACCTACAGGATAACCTACACACATTCATTCTGGCCTCTTGAGTATCCAATTCCCCTATAAAAACCACTGCCCGTTTACATAGTCACCAGAGAGTCTTAGTTCTAATCCCTACGGCTCTATATTCCTATTTGCCTCTTCTGTATTTTTATGCATGTATCGTTATCATCTTGCACTGAAGCAAAGACTGCACAGTCACAAAATGGCTTAGATGAAAGAGGTGATCTGATTGTCTTAAGAGGCTTTCAACTCATCATTGAATCATAGGGCTGGAAGAGACCTCAGAAGGCTGTTGAGTCCAGCACCCTGCCCAAAGCAGGACCAATCCCAACTAAATCATCCCAGCCAGGACTTTGTCAAACTGGGACTTAAAAACCTCTAGGGATGGAGATTCCACCACCTTCCTAGGAAACCCATTCCAGTACTTCACCACCCTCCTAGTGAAATAGTTTTTCCTATTATTCAAGCTAGACAACCCCACTGCAACTTGAGACCATTGCTCATGTAACTATCCTCCAGTGGATACACATCAGGAGTATCAAGCTTCTTCATGCATGAGACCACAACACAATCTGAATGATCTTAAAGTTAGAGCACACTGATACATAATAGAAATGGCTAATTACAGTTTAAATCCTTTCAACTTCAGCTTTTTCCTTTAACCAAAGTACTCCTTTCTCTTTCTGCCTCATGAGAAGTGAGGATGGGTCTTCCAAACCAGTCCAGGTCTTCTAGTGAATTGTATTTGGCCAGAAAAGGAGTATACTGTTCTCCTAAGCCACACTATGGATTAAGAGAAATAGGGAGTCCCGTGTCTGTCAGGACTGCCAGAGAGCAGATCTTTGAAGATACAGTTGAGACCAATTTCCTTGCTCTACTAACAGTGGAACAGGGGCAGGGCCTGAAAGAACAGCTATGACCACAGCTGCCTTCTATAGCACAGGTCAGGGGAGAAGATCTGGGAGACTGCTACCACTATTCATTCCACCAGTAGTGCTGGTACAGATTTAGGAATGGAAGAATAAATAACTGGTTTGGGTACAGGAGGAGACACCTAGCTCAAGTGTTTCAGGCCAACAAGGGGATTTAGGCACATCAATCCTAATAATTCCAATGAGAATTGTTTGCCTAAACCTCATATTCAGCTCTGAAAATCTGAACCTTGGCTCCTGCTTACTACAGTTACTCTTATTTTGGAATGGGTGACAAGGGGAATCCATAAACAGAAGAAACAGCTGTTTCCTCTGCTCAGTATTTGACTATTAATTATTACTTGTATTAGGCCTAGAAACTGAAATCTTGGATCTGGACACCATTGTGCTAAACTCTGCAAAGACACAGAACAAAAAAAAACCCAAAACAAAAACAAAAACAAAACAAAACAAAACAAAAAAGCTGTTTTTAATTCTGATAGAACAACATCCTAAGGCAAAGTAAAATAACAGATCGGTGGCCAGCTCAGCTCCTTCTGCTTCAAAAGCATTAACTTGAACTGTACAAGAACTTGCTAGCTTTAGCAGTATGACACACAGATTCCTTTCAGAAAGGGAAGTGATATATTTGTTGTTAATTACTATTATAATATAAATAATAAGCCATTTTATATTGCAATAGTCACACTTTAGATTGTGGGTTCATCAACCGATCCACTTTGGTGTGTGGAAGGGCAAGTAATACTTTCCCATATAGAAAATCATGTATATAGCGCGCGCGCGCGCACACACACACACACACACACACACACACACACACACACACGGATTATAAATAGCATTGGCTTTGACCTCAAAGACACACATAAGCCGAATGGGCCTATTCATTTGCACAAAATTATTCACAGGCAGAAAGTTATGCAGGGTTGAGCCTTTGCATTTTCTTTGGGTTGGAGCTCATGAGGCCTATAATCACACTATCTAGGTCATACGGGAGGAGCCAAACAGCCAGCACAGGCTGCCCCAGCACAAGAGCTGGCTCTAGCACTTGGAAGGCAGGATAACAGACACCCAGAGGTAGGTAGGTGAGGTGGGTTCTGGAGTGACCTAGGGGGATAAAGCATTTGCCTGGGGACCTGGGTTGGAGTCCCACATATCCTGAGAGCAGCCAAACAACCAACACAGGCTCCTCAGGGCTGGAGCCTGGGTCTAACACTTGGAAGGCAGGATAAACTGATGAGCTCCCATCTTATCACAATCATAGCTTACGGCCTGATTTTTCAGCAGTGCTGATTACCCACAATTTCAATCCAAGTCCATAGATCTATCAGCCTTGGATGTTTCAGCTCCCACTTATGCCAAAATCCTCATCACTCTTCTAGAAATCAGAGACACAACAGAATTTAAGTCCAGACTGCTATAGAACATAGAAGAATTATATTAAAATTCCCAGGAGTTCATGACGTCATCATTAGAACAAGTTTGTTGGATGAATGCATTTAAAAAGAAATATTCATCATAAAACTGGTCAAAATTTAACCAAACTACACATTTACTAAATAGACGTTCCTATGATATGTTCATGGAAGGTTTAGGAGTGATTGTTTAAAACACACAGTGAAAAATTAAGACACTACAAGCTAAAGCTGTCATTTATGCTCCTGCGTAGGTGATGGCAAAAGAGAGAAAAAAAGTGTTCTGCGAGATATTTATTTTTAAATTTTTCCTACAGCTCTTTTCACAAGCTGGTGCTATTCATATTGAGTGTTATAATAAAAAGGGCTGAATACAAATATTGTGACATTTTATACAGTCATTTTTCTAATCCCTTTAAAATATAAAAAGATTGTACCACTGAAAAAAGGCTTTTACAGGACAATTTTGCACACTGACTCAGTTTAACAAGTAAGAAGGGCTGTATGTATCCACACTGGTAACATTTATATACATGTTGCAACACATTTCTGTTAGGTGGAAACATCTTTGTTCCTCTTCATCATTTGACTAAAGAAGCCTCTTTTGTGAAAACTAACTTTCATTTAGCTATTTTGACTCCACCAACACTTTAAAAAAATTAGTCTAGATCTTAATCTACCATAGCACTTGCTATCAATGGGACTACTCGTACTTGAAGTTAAGAAGGTGCTTAAGTGCTTTTCTAAGTTGAGACCTAGTGTACTCTCTTGAAAGTGCCTAAATATTCTTTGGTGGTGTAAATCAAACTATCACTATTAAAGTCAATAAAGCTGCATTAATTTGCACCAGCTGAGGATCTGGCCCACACCTTTTAAGGCAAATGATTTGATATTTTGGAAGCAAGTTGGAAATAGAAAAACTAGGGTTTACCATGCAGGATTCTCTGGATCAGCAGAAACAAGGTATGTCACTGTTGTGAAGCACTAAGAGCCTACTCCTAATAACCTTGTTCATTAAAATACATCTACTGAAGTCAGTAGACCACTTGTTTGAATGAGGCAAGAAGGATTTTTTATTCATAGATTTCAAATCCAGAAGTTAATTTTGTGATTATCTAGTCTGATCTCACAAGCCATAGAACTTTCTCAAAATAATTCCTAGAGCACATCTTTTAGGAAACGTAACAGGCAATCTTGATTTATTACTTGCCAGTGATGGAGAATCCTTCGCAGCTCTTGGAAAATGGTTCCAATGGTTAGTTAACATTGCTGCTAAAAATTACTATTGATTTCCATAGACTACCTCTAAGATTTCCAAAGAGGTCCATACCTCCATTTGTAATTTTTGAAAAACAAATGAAAATGAAAAAAAAAAATCAAAACCACTGAGGAGTTGTCCATTGCTTTCATGTGAAGGAGCACTGTGTAAAGAGATGGAAAGACAGAGCAAGGTAGGACTCTTAGAAGAATCCAATCCAATACTTGCATTGCCTCCCTGGTACAGAATGCACTCTGCACTCTTCAGGCTGCTGGCTCTCCTTCAGATCAAGGCACAACAGGACAAAGCAGGATTCCATATTGGATACTGAAACTCTGCATAGAATAGACTGGGCACAGAACCAACAACATATCCAGCTGTGGCTGGTGAGGTGACAAAGAAAACATGAACACAAAGTATAAATCTCTCTGATCTTTTGCAAGAGTTGGGTTAAATGTGTATATGGTGGGGAAAGTAGGTCTGAGATTGGATATTATGGAAAGACTGCCTCTGAGTAAAGATCACAAAGATGAGGATACTTTTTTCCTGGAAAAAAATCCCATGAAAAACAGTTGATTGTGGATGTGGGAACACTGATAGGGCCTGTATTTGAGTTAGTCAATTTGTCTTGACAATAAAAGTTGTCATATATTTTGGGGGTTATCTTTTAACTTTAACTTTTCTATCTAAATTAATCTTTCTATTTATGTTCTGTGGGGGGGAAGGGGAGGAACTTGGGCAATGGGACACAATGATTTGTTTTTAAAAGATTTCACCTATAATCACACTATCTAGGTCATATACAGGTCTCTCTCAGGCCATGAATGACTGTAATCAGATAAAACTCTAGAGCATCCTTGCCACCAGTAATTAAACTAGTGTGCAAAGAAAAATTTATTGTTTGTTAGAAAATTTACATTGATATAGTATTGTGATCCAGAAATATAAAACACTGTCCAAAACCAATATTTTCTCATAAAGAAAATCATTTGTTTAGTGCGCGCACACACACTCACACACACATACACACACACACACACAAAGAATATGAATAGCATTGGCTTTGACCTCAAAGACACACATAAGCCCAATGGTCCTATTCACTTGCATAAAATTATTCACATGCAGAAAGTTATGCAGGGTTGAGCCTTTGCATTTTCTTTGGGTTGGAGCTCATGAGGCCTATAATCACACTATCTAGGTCATATACAGAGTCTGGGCTTTACATGAATTTCCTAGAACAGAGGTGCTATTTGCAGCAGTGCCTGAGTTTCAGGAAATTACTCAAAAATCTGTTTTTCTTGGGAAAAATGTAAAAAAATTCCCACAGCTCTGTTTTCTCTCAGAAAACTAGGAAGTGAGTGGTAGGAAGTGGATGAAAATAGACACTCCATAAATGACATTTCTGCTTTAATCTTTCTTGGCATTAGCACATATGGGGATTTGTGGGTGTGTTTTAGGTACTCACAACAATTTTGATAAGCATTGGAATTTTGATTTTTTTTCACCTTGCTTCCTTTTACTCAGCTATTAGGTTGTGTCTAGACTACATGCCTCTGTCGTCAGAGGCATGTAGATTAGACACATAGGCAAAGGCAAATGAAGCCGCGATTTAAATGATCGCGGCTTCATTTAAATTTACATGGCTGCCGCGCTGAGCCGACAAACAGCTGATCAGCTGTTTGTCTGCTCAGCGTGCTAGTCTGGACGCTCCCCTGCCGACATCAAAGCCCTTTGTCGGCAGCCCC